ACACACACACACACACACACACACACACACACACACACACACATATATATATATATATATATATATATATGTATATATATATATATATATATATATGCGCTACATATGTCACTGCATTTTATTTGGGCATAGCGAATGTATGTATCTATGTATACGCTACGTATTTCACTGCAAATCGAACTTTCACATTCGTCTACTCAATTGATACTGCGCACAGGTCTTTGATATCGTGTGGGAATATGTATAATCTTCTACTTGGTAATTCAAAAATCGATATAATACTCACTGGGTGCTCATATCAGAACTCAACGTTTATAATAAAGTAAGGCTCGTTGCCTACAAATTTAACTTTTATGATAAAATTAGTCTCGATGCTTATCGATTACAGATTACATGCAAGCTGTACGCGTGCGTTCTTCCGGCGGGCTTGTAGTACAACAGAAAGGCTACGAATTCGTATCAACGCAAGCTATGTTGACTATATGTATATGATATGATATTCATACATATATGATATTCAAGAATACAATACGGTAATCAAGAATTGTGTTGCTACTCTGTGCAAGACTATTCTGTGAACGTGCGCTTGTTGATAGACCACTCAAATTCCAACGTGTATACTGATCATGCCTTTGTTTTCACTTGTGCACAAGGCACACGTTTGTACTCTAATTACAAATGACACAAGTGTAGTCAGAATAAGATACTGACTGGCTCGGCATACCCAGAAGTGTACTATTTTGTCAAGATCTTGTGAAACAGAATCCAACCCCATTTGTAGAACAAGGTCAAGCAGTTTGGACGCGTTAATTTAATCAATTTTTTTCTCACGAGAGTGGGTCATGATGATGTTTGAACATTTGTGGTTTTGACGAATATCGATATAATTTTACCATTTCGAAAATAAGACGGAATTGGTCTAGTGGTATGATTGACCCTTAGGGTGGGTCAGGCCCCACGTTCGATTCGTGGATTCCGCCTATACTTTTTCTCGTTTTTATCTGTTTACCCGATATTTAACAGGTTTCTCTTGTGTCTTTATAGGTTCGGGATGAAATAACGTGTACACAATATGGATCAGTTGCAATGTAGATATCAGTCACTCACAACTGTTCGGAATTTGTGCTACATCTTCCCACGATTTCATCACATCTTGGCAGGTGCACATTCTTTTTCATGGCGGAAGGCATATTGTGGGTTGCATGGAAAATTCTTTGGACGGCCACAAGCATTTATGAATAAATTCAACTGTACATCATAGTCCAGGCTCTATTACAGGTTTTACAAGTCAGTTCACAACGTATGGGTGTACAGTCAATGGCAAAAATTGCAGCGGTTTGAACAGACGTTCAGGTTGCAAGATTGAACGTGCATATACCAATCATACATGTTCATGCATTATCTTCGTATGTGGCCGCTTACTAAATCTGACAAGCAGTGTGAGTATCAATTCCAATAGAATGATACAAACGGTTTGAAATATAAGGGAATAAGAAAAAAGTTAATTTTTTAAGCGTATGTAATGATCTCACCTTTCGAGTCACGATAATTCATTCGAATATTACGCTAGGGTACAGGTAGCTGAACTCGATGAGGTACTTTCTCTTGCACAATAAACTATATTATAAAGCGCATGATATACTTGCACAATAAACTATATTATAAAGCGCATGATATACAATCGGTCTTAAAGGAAGCAAAGCTTACATAGTTATTTCGCATACAAACAACCTCAATAAAGTATAATCTCGTGCTAGTAGGGTATATGTATAGAATACTGTTCTGCCTGTCCTTGGGGTTCCACAGGGATTGAACTTTGAAGTGAATCCTTTCCACCCCAGATGGACCCAGACTCTCAAGTCCCAGAGGCCCAGACTCCAGAGTGCAAATATTGTGTAAATCAATCATCACAGAGTGTTCAAACAAAACGAGTTGATGATTGATACCAAGCACCAATGGTAATCGTTTGCATCTCGTAATAAATATATAAATATATACTTTTTGGGTTAATAACACCACATGACCTTTGAAGCCCAGTCGGCAGTGGCCCTACTCCCTCTACTAGTAGTAAAATAAATACAGAAGTGTTCTAACAAATCCTACAAGTAGTTGGTCCATAAATTAGTAGGGCTATAGGACAGCCACCGTCTACATAACACAACATCACGTAGGCCGTCACACCAGTCAAGGCGATCTCAACCTTCTATACAACATATATCTAAACGTAGGTTAGGCATTATACTTTTCGGCGTGTCAGCTCACACACCCCAACAACGCACAACCACTACGTGAGTAGTACGAGGCCAATGCAGAACGATCAGTTCGAGCAGGCGGTGCTCCTTTCACTTTGTGGTGCCTCCAATCCACAGATAAAGGCAGAAGCTACAGCCTACTGTGAACAGATACGACTATCGGATAATGGCTGGCAACGTATGTGACTTGTTCTATAGTTGTGTTGGGCATGCAGAGCCCTATGAAAAACAATAGGGACATACAGAGCCCCTCGAAAAGTAATAGCGAGTCAATCCCCACTAGTACAACTTCAAATAAATACATATGTACCACATCTATCTATTCATTCATGTATATAAGTATGCATATCCTCACACGCGCTAATATACTCACGTGCGTGTGTATAAATGCACACACACACACACACACATATATATATGTATATATATACACACACACACACATATATATATATGTATATATATACACACACACAATAAAC